ACATGTTCCAAAAACTATGAAGTCCATATACTTGGCTATTTACAATACTCTTGGTTTTCACAAATTTAAAAAAAAAAAAAAAAAAATCCAACCGACCCAATTTTTAAATTTTTCGACTTGAGGGCAACATAAGTTTGTTTGTTTTTTGGCCTCATGCCTGGTAATGCAAAACTAGTATTCTTTTAGCACTGCATGATCATTACATACATTGCATAGTCATGTGTGGTGTAGACGTACTGTTATGTGTGATTGCATCATAGAAAAATCACGTCTAACATCTCTTTAAACTGAAAAAATGAACAACCTTTGTTTGAAAAGAAAAAGCAGACTTATATTTTCATTAGAGAATACATTTCTAAGAAAATGGTACTGTAAATGTAAATACGCTAGTCGCAATCTTCCCTGGACAAGGGCCAGGAGCAATTAGTGGTTGTCATGGAAACATTTACATCATCAGCATCCTCATCATATTTCAGTGTTATCGCACAGACTGCAGATTCTGAGCCTCATCCTCACAGCTGCATGATTGCAAAATTGAATTTGCAAAAAATAAAATGAAACGAGAAAAAACATAATTGTCGCGAATTAAATTCATCACCATGGAAACAAGGACAGCCAGGTAATTCCCCGTCCCCGAATTTTCCCATAAAAACGCATAACTGATAGTAATGACACGGCAAACCCATTTTAACGTGACGGTGACCGTCTAACGTATTGCTTTAAATTAATTACTATAATATTTTCGATGTATAACAACCTCGGAGCGTCGGCATGATCACGAAGACAAACACAAATAATTACGCCATGTTGTAAAATGCTTATATATTTTTTATGAAGACGTCATCGACGACATATCAAGAAAAATTATTTAAAAAAAAAGCACTTCTAACAGAGAAAGACGTCTCATTTAATAAACAGTTTTGTGTCGAATATATTTGCACATTTTTCCAGTCGGTCTAGCACGAGCAACCTTCGACAAAAATCTGTTTCTCGTCAGCGAAAAAAAATCTTCGTATCGGTGGCAAAATAGAACAAATCAGTAGAGACATTCGTTGTAAAATAATATTCACACGATTGGAAACGGTGCCAAACTCGTTGCGTAGGTCACTTTTCAAAATTATCGACGTCAGAAAATATCTTACCTATCTTTCGACAGACTTCGAATGTGTGTGTTCAATTTTTCTCTCAAAGCGATCAGGATTTCCCACCCTTTATGAGCCCGAACCCAATTCTGTCCGGGAGCACGAAAGTCTCTTCCAAGAAACGGCATTCTAACGGCTCCTTTGTCCAAAATATGTTATTGTTTCACAGCTGTCTTCTATGGTGCACATGCAGTCGACTGCGTTGTGTTGCCGGAAGAAGTCTTGTTTTGGTTGTTAGTATTCCGTTAATAGGGTGAAAGGGTGTTTAAGAGAGGGGAATTTAAACCTGTTCGATTCTTAACTAGGGAAAGTAGCTTAGAATTAAAAATTACTCCGACTGCCTCTGAACTGTTACTAAATTACTATATTTTGTTTTAGTGTCGGCCTAGTTCCACTCATCATTCATCAATACGAATACCTTTACATTGACATCCCTGCACTAAGAAGTAATATGGTGTGTCCCAATAAATATGTAAATGAGTCTGTCTGCTGGTGACCTCATTTATCCTTGGCGTCAACAGCGTTCGTAACACGAGTCAGACTGAACGTTTTTCAACACGACCGCATTGTGTCATACGCGTTTCCATTCACAAGGAGGGTGGTAATAAAATTAATTAATTTAATTCATTTTTTTTTAATAAATAAATAAACATTTGTTGAGTCACTGAATTAAAAACACTCCAAAAGGTCAATGTATGTTCAAACAAGTAACTTGTCGAATTTAAAGGTAAATATTACTTCCGAGTTTTGTTATTAAAATTAAAAATAAGGCCCAAAACAAATATATTTTTTGATAGAAACCTAAGATCAATGGACCATTTAACATACTAATACAACACACTATGTGAGGATTAGTTTACTGTATTTATTATATTATATTATCAGTCTTTTTGAAAAATATTATTTTTATGTGTAAAGAATAAAGATATACTTAGTCACAAAATGTGGTATATAAATTTAGAGGGCTCGTGAAAATGGATTGAAATATTATAAATTGAATTATCTTTGAAATGTCGATATAATAAGCACAAAAGTTTAATATCCGTTGTGTGTGTTTGTCACTTTCAAGTTAAATGCGCGGAGCTACCAATGATAAGACGATTTATTCTATTTTCATGCTAAATTAAAATAAATCACACCAGGTATGCGTGAACCATTAAACAATTAATAAATAAATAAATAATTAAAGAATACAATTTATTACTTGGATTGCAGGAATATAAATAGAAGCATGTAGATTGTGATCAATGTCACAATCACTTTGGAAAAGTACGTTTTGTGTTTGGTAAACTGTCATCCAAATTCAGAAGACCACGCAATATAGGAAACATCAGCTTCGTGACTGAATGCAGTTTGGTGGTGCCCCAAATAAATTATAGCTTGCATTTGTGACACTATGAATCTCAACTTCCAAAATACTGACCAAAAATCTCGTAATCTCAACTGATAGAAAAATCGCCTAAGTGAAATTAATGTTGTAAAAAGCTGCAGGCATTCAGTATTACGGGGAATACGGGGAAGTGTCAAAGATTGGTCTGAAATACGCCACTTAATTATTATAGAGAAAGTGAACTTTAAAAACATGCTTTTTGAGTTAGATTCGGGTTTAGCCGACTATTTTGAGTTTGACACTAACTATGCAGGATCGAATCGAACAGGGTACGCATTGTCAGGGACCATTTGTTGAGGAGAAACAAATGAAAAGATGCAAGTCACTTGACTAACGTTAAATATCAAATCTCTTGTATTCTTACCGTTCGTTTGGCTGATGAAGTGTTAGTTTTACGGCGGTAGTCACGCATGCGCGAGATATATGGGTCTCATATAAACAAAGATGGCGACTTTATCTGTTGCGCAGATCAACAGTGTACAAACTGGGACGTTACCAAGCTTTAATTAGGTAATTTTTTAGGTGATTGGAAGGTATCGAACGAGACACCGGTGGTAATTAGTGCACGTCGCGCCCAGGTCAAACTTTATACTTGTGATTTCCATTAGAATAGCGCATTGGATTGTGGGAAAACCAATGTTCAATACAAATATCGCACATGCGCGGCGCGACGAATGCTGCTCTTTAATAATAATTTTTAATAATAATTTTATTAACACTTACACATTCCCCGGAGGGATTGGCAATGGTTACAAAAGTTTAAAAAGGAATAAAAGGTTACAAAACAGTAAATAGATTTAAAAAAAAAAGCTAATACATTACAGATAATAGCAAGTATAAAATTATGATACTACGATAGATAGAAGACAAAATGCAAAACTCAAACAGTGAGAGAAGGTTGTCACTGGGGTTGCTGTCTTATTTCAAAACACTTCTTTAGGTACCTTGCTACGGGGAGTGTTAGGCCACTGTTGTTTAGCAAGGCTATGAATTGTGTCTTTGGTGGCAAATTTTTTAAAGTTTTGGATTTTGGTTTTTGCCATTTCGAATAGGACATTTCTTTCGGGGGTATATCTTTTACATGACATCATGAGGTGATACTCATCTTCTACTTCATTTTGATCACAAAGGTTGCATAATCTATTAGCAAGGGGCATTCCTTTGTGTCTGCCAGTCTCAAATTTCAAGTTATGGTCACTGAGCGGAATTTAGTTGAATTTTCGAGCATCTCAATGTTTTTCAGGTAACAAGGTATGTTTCGAAGCAAAATTGTTTTTAATTCTCTGTATGTTCTTAATTT